CTCTTGCAGCAATGAGTTTAGAAGTGTTTAGGGGCATAACCCTGACAATTAGATTATTGCGTTTTGCTCCATTGTCTTTCCTGCATAATTCTTCTTGTAAGAACAATAAACTGACGATTTCAAACTTAAAATAGTCTACAATTCTTGCCCAGTCTACAATGGAAATGATGACTCAGTTTCTTCAATAACAGTTATCTGAAAAGCACAACTCTTTGAGTGTTAGCAAATTACCCAAATCCATTTTTTAACCTCTAATTGCATCAGAAATTAAAGTCAGATGATCATTTAGGACTAAGCAAAAAGAGGAAACTTTGTTCAATTCAAAGGAAATGCTTTTTTTATGGATGCGCGTAAGAGTGAATGTAGTAAAGCAAAATAAATGGAATGTACAGCTGTTCAACTCTTCCTTCCAGCATTTCTTTACCTGAATCAAATTAAAATTCTTTCTATACGACACAAAAACTCACATACACACATTTGCCCTCTCTTTGCAGTACAAAAGGCAAAAACAACAGTGTTCAATAGCTTTTCAATAGCCACCAAAGACAGTGTGATTCTTCTTTGTTGCTGCTAAAAATCTCCCCTGATAGCAGCCTGTAGTAATCCACATCAATTGTATCACATAAGCCAGAGCCAATCCAAACAAAGACAATATTGCCTCTCATTATTGCCTGTAAAACTTGCCCATATATCACTGCCATTGTTTCAGTGCCAATTCTGGCTCGCTCTGAGGCCTCACACTCTATTCCAATTTATCTTACTCAAACTTGGTGGAAAAGAAGAATGATATGCTAGCACCTGTATTTCTTCAACCTTCTTCTTTCCCTGCCAATAAAATTCCCTCTGTTATCTTCATCTTTCACCTTTCTCAACTCTCTCCCTCTATCTAATTTTTGCACTTCTAATCTGCAGATGCCCATTTCTCCCTCGGATGGCCTGTCTTTCTCTCCCAATCCTACTCCGACCCTAGTCGCCCCCTCCCCCCTTTGCTCTCTATGTAAGGGTTTGCAGGTGGCTCTTGCTGGCTGTGTCAGTAAGCAGGGAAAACTGGGGAAGAGTTCACTTCATTAGAACAAATGGGAACAAATTGATCCACTTTCACTGCTGTTTGTGTGACGATGTTTGAGCTGCAGGCAAAATATGTAAGCATTAGAGTTTGAAAGAGGGGCCAAAGACCAGTGAGATGAACACTCACATAAACCTTTGGCCTGCCAGGAAAAGACAGTTTTAGTGCTTTCTGGGGTACAGTTGAGAAACTCTGCATATAATTGAGCTCAATTGAAAAGATTGTGCGAGTGGTGGAGTCATGTTGGCCCGACGTAGGTGGTTGTACTATTTAAGGTTAATCTCTGAAACAAATTCAAAGGAAAAAAGGATTCAGAAGTGAATGAAACAAGCTTATGTAGGGACGGACTTCTGGGACTCACTGTAACTTGGTGTATGTAAATGATCTAAAATGTCCCTAAAACTGCACAAACTCTATGTGCTTTGTTTTGATGCCACAAGTGTGATGTCTGCACACTTATAAAGACTGTGAGCTCAAACAACAGCTGGGTTAATCTTTGAGACATAAAGTGAGCACACTTCTTTTTTCCAACCATTTCATAATTGGATATGAGCTTTGGCAAATGACCTTACCAAGCCTGAATATTTCTATGTAATTCTGTCCACATGGTATTTCAGTGCATTTTAGTAGTTGAAACCACACTCTGCTCCCAGTTTTCCTTCTCACAACTATGTAAATAACTTCAAGTAAACTGGTGTCTAGCTATGTGAAATAGGCTGGAATTAACACACTCCTGGAGCAAAACAACAGAGCATCACCGACAGACAGCTGCAAAGGCGCTCAACAGTTGTATCCTTCTGCTAATCTCTGCACAGACTTCAAAAGGACACAATAAAAGAAGAAACAGCCACTGCAGCGCTATAATAACCGTCTACGGTAAATCAAAAACAGTCGAAGGAGATTTCAGACTAAACCAAGTAAGAGCGGTTTAGCTCTTTTCACACCAGAGCGGCAGAAATAAAAACGCTATAACAAAAAACAACAATGAAACAAAACGCACACGCAAAAGTACACTTGGCATTAATGCATGAGGTTTAGTATTTCAGTAACTTTTAGAAACCAGAAGGGATCATATTAGGGCGGTGGTACTAAGCAGGGATGCTAAATAGAAATTACGACTCTGTGGAGTTTGAAATCATGGAATTGCTTTCAGAAGGACCGACTCCACACTGGTCGGAGCGTGTGAATCTACCAAGTGACACCGTAATGATCAAACATTATATTAAAACATTTTCTGACTGAGCAATTCATGGGATAGGACATTTTCTTGAAATAGGGCTGGTATCTGATGACCGCTCGTGTGGTGGTGTTACACTTTCAGACTATTCTCAACAGGCTGCAGGGGGGAGATTACATTAATCTTTCACATACAGTCTAAATTGAGTCTGTTATTTAGATATACAGAGCAATGGGTTGACATTTCTCCCGAAAATCTATTTTGTTTAAGTCCCAATTTAGGATAAAATGAGGAGGAAAACGACAGCCTTTTTCATTTCGATTTCTGGACATTAATTTGGCAGTCATTTTCATTTTTCCTCCCTAAATGTGTCACTACTGTCAGCAGTCAGTCCTGTCCCGACTGGCGGTTTGGGGTGCTGCTATGGTCAGTGTGTCATCCTGCCTCTGTTTGCTCAAGAATCATCGCCATGAAAGAGTAACACAATTACATACTTTTCCAAAACAAATGCTTGACTACATTATTTATCCAGATGAGTTGGATATTTGAAAAGAGATAGAATTCTCAATACACGCACAGCCACTGCAACAACAGGGCCCCACATCCGACTTAAAAGTGATGCCGTGACATGGAGTGCAGACCCATTCGCTTCCTCCAAACCTGTCCCAAAATCAGCTGCTGTTACTCCGAGCAAGGAGAAAGAGAGAGGCTGAAAAAGTGCCACTACTTTGTCCTCGTTGTTCATATTTAGCTTATTCTTTGCTTTTGAAAAAATAAAAGAAGAAAGCGTTAAAGAACATCTATCTGTTGCAAGTTATCAAGGCACCATGCACTTTAGTACTATTAAGTCTTGGTTTATCTTTTGCCACCATTTTGGATGCTTAAAAAACCTCGTGAAAATGACTGTATGGGACAGTTCAAAATGGTTTCAGTAATCAGAAAGAACATGCTAGAAGTACTGGCCCTGCGGGTCGTACGGTTCTGCCAACCAGTCAGTTTACATCCATTTCTGCCAAGGCTCTGAACAAAGAGAAGACTTAAAAGGCAAAGGTGGGGGATCTGGCAGCCTCGTAATGGAGAAGTTATTAAAGTAGCGTATGATGCGTTACTCAAAGAATGCAGTTTTAACTATTAGGAAGACACTCCATAGAACGATGTGGTATGTTGGAGGTTTCACATATTGTAAATCACTTACCAAAAAGGAAGGACAATAAGCAGATAAATATCCTTTAAAAACAAAAACAAAACAGGATTTTACTATTGCACACTAGCTGAAAAAGTTAATGTGAGCTCACTACAGAATATCATGCCTAGACACTATGAGTTATTAAAAGATTGTCGAAATACTATTGTTATAACGAATGGAATCATTCGTAGGGAAATAAATATTTTACAATGGCCATGAAGAGCGTTGTTAGAGTTTGTCCTTAAAACTCTCAGAGGAGGCCATCCTCAACATTTTAGATTCAGAATCCAGCCCAATTTATTTCTTTTACAGTTATCTAAAGAGATAGGCTCTGTGTCTACTTATTATATGGAAAACTAGGAATGTGACAACATGATTTTAGCGAAATCTGTGGGGAGAGTTGAGATTCCTACTCCAAAGTAAACTCAACCATAATGGAAGGAATTTGTAAAACACAGTGCGCCTCAGCAAACCAAAAATATGGTCACAATCTCCTGTTCTGATGCTTAATCACCATACAGTTCTTTCAACAGAATGTCGTGCACACTGATGCGTTTTTTTTTATTTCATCTTATATTTAACATTTTAACCCAAGACACATATGTCTGAGAATTGTCCTGAGTAGAAGTTTAGCGAATTCACCAAACAATTTACATGCCAAGACAACAACTTCCATTATAATAAGAATAAAAAACAACTGAAATTTTAAACTTATGTTTATCTCAAGATAAAAGATGTAATCAATTTTTTGGGAAAACATAATGCTTGGCTTCTGCAAGTATAGAGACCATAAAACAAAAATAACACTCAAAGCTGAGATCTCTATAGTCCCAAAGAAACAATAAGGAATGAAACATTTAAAAAATGGTTCAACATTGGCTCCTTTAACACATTATGGTGACTACTCTTAGCATCTTCACATATGTTAACAAGCGGTCCACATATGAGGCACAGAAATGTTGATGCTTGCCTAAATATGCATTGTCTGCCTGTGTTTCTCTTGTGTTAATCTGATCTCCTTGCAAAGAGAGCACTTAAAGACGGACTCTTTCCAGGTGAACAACCTTTCACCCAACAGCCAAGTAACGGTGCAATTAGGTGGGGGCCATATAGTGGTAATCTGTGCTGTGCCGTGTCACCATGGTAACGCCCGTGCCAATAAGTACTGGGGATGGCAGGGTGCGCCTTTCATGCCATCGCTACACCCCTCTGACTCACACACACAAAACATACATGGCTGTCATTACAAAAACCTGACTGCAAATCATCAATAGCATGATGCCAAACTGGCCTTCGAGGCGGGCCCAGACCCATGGGCCGGTCTGAAAGGATGGCAACTGACAGCTCAATTTTTATCTCTTCTACTCTAACAATTTGGTTTCCCTAATCCACGGCTCCTCTCTTCCTTCACCCTCATTCTCCATTTTCGCTCACTGAACATCCTCCTCTTCCAAAAATCTCTCAGTCTCTCTACCAGCTGGCATTGGGACACTAACCTTCCGCCACCATGGCAGTGTTAGGCCCAAGAACGCAAGAGAAGCTAAGAAACAGGGTGGGAGATGAGCACCCTGAAACACCCTGAAAGCAGGAGAATCTGAAGAGGTGACAACAAAAGGAGAAGAGGTGGCTTAGAAGTACAAAAGGTGAACAAACCATGGGAGGTTAGAGAAATTTGACCACCAAATAAAGAATTAGCTTGTGTTGATCAAAGAACGTGGATATTGTCATCAGCTGAAAGCGTCCACGTCGTTGTTTCTACCAGTTTTATTATATAGAGAGTTTTATCCTCTCGATAGAATCACAGGGGTTAGGGATCCTTTTCATTCTTCACCATTCAATGCTGATTTACATTGAACTGTAGCAGTCTACAGTTTGATGCTTGCGCACAAGGACACTGCACCAGGAAGAAAACCCAAGATCCTTTAAGTGTCTCCTCATTACTTGGAATCAGAATTTTTGATCATGTAACCTGGTTCATCAAAGACAAACATCCACAAATCAGAGACAAAGATGGAAAAATAGGGAACATATGGTTTTGGTTTTGTTTTTTTTACACATAAAAAATTTGAAGCCATTTACTTTAGAAAAGTAAACACAACAAAAGTGTCTTTTGGAAATTAATACAAACTGTGTTTCTATGGAACATTCGCCAAGCTTGATTAATCAGGATTTTGACTGTAATGGCGAGTCAGATTTCTGGTGGACCGCTGGGAAAAGCCCAGACAGCGCACTGTTTCAAGACACCTCATTAAAAAGAAGAAATATATCAAATGTTTTCTTTGTCTGCATCTTGCTTTTCTTTTTCAGTGACATAAAATATAATGCATTATTTTTTTTCTATAACCACAATATAATTGAATTAATGAGCAGTCTCACGTGCACTTTTAAATCATACTGATTAGAGGGATCTGGAAACTGATCTCTTCATTTGTGGCAAGCTGAAGTCTGAAATGCAGCTCTACTTATTGATGCAAGTTCACCTGCCATATATCAGGTTAGTTTCCCGCAAACGCTAATAATGAAGAGGTTGATTCATAACCCAGGGGGGCCTGGCGGGTTTGGCTGGTTTACTGAAGCCTTGTAAAAAATATCACAGGTTCAGACGTGTCAGCTGAAAATCTAACAATGTTCTGACAAACTTATAGCTTACAGAATAATCGCATGTCATAAGCTGCGGTTACCTCCACACCAAGCTGTCTGCATCATGCTTATCTGATTATTTAGAAACTACTTAACCAAACTTAAAAATGGGCCAACTTGTGAACTAGAATAATAACATTAGAAACAGAACCTCTGCTTTAGGTCAGGTCTGAATTTATTTGTTTAATCTTCTTTTTGCAAGTTGAATGGTGAATGTACGGTATGGATTTTTTTTAAAGAATCCTGAGACACGCATCATGAAGACACAGGCTCTGTCAACATGCTGGTATCTTGTGCAGTCTGTGGGGTGAAAAGCATTTTTTCCCACATAGCACACGCCAAGCGAGCAGGAATAAACCTAACTAAATGCTACAGGCTGTCTTTTGTTGTAAACCTGCTGCAGCATCTACAACTTCCTGTCAGACAAGGCTGGGCACACAAAGCTGACGGCAAAAAGGCGGCAGTGGAGCTGCAATGAAGCCACAAGTATTGGTTTTTCGGAGACAACGACACCGCTGGTTACTGATAGCCTCAGTCGTTGCGAGAAAGAACACAACGGAGAATCCTTTAACACCATGCCTGTCCTAACAGATAACACAAACACGTGAGTCTGTACATAAAGGTGAAGAAACCTCACTGACCTGCTATAACGTACAGATTAAGCTATTAATGCCATCCCCTGTCTGAAAAGAGCTTTGAAAAGAACAAGATTTTCCTGAAAGGTGATTAAATATGTCTTACTTACCAGTTTCTACTTTGCCCGTGTGAAGTCAGAAGAGACACTTCTGAATTGCTAAACATGTTTATATTTGCATGGTTAAATTCTTAGTGATTAGTCACGAAAAATGAAAACAGGGACAAAAAGAGAAGTGGCACATGTTTCAGTCTCATAAATACATTGAACATGCTGAACCATTGTCTCCTCTTTGTCCTGTTGGCACTGTTGTTGATCCTTTAGCTTTCTTCCACTGTAAATCCTGTGGATGTCGGCCTTCACAGTAATAAGCATTCAAACGATTGTAATGACTTCTTATGAATATGACGTGAACAAACATGTGGAATAAATGACTAATTTGTTTTATAAATGGCTGTTTGGGGGCACGATATCATCATATTGAGGTCACCTTTGCCACAGCAGGACGGTAAAACATACATGCACTGCAAAGCAGGACAACAGCCTCACCTTGGGCTCCATGGAGATGAAACTATGGCGACCATGGCTGGACAATGTTGATCTCTTGATAGTCCGACTATGGAAGAAGTGGTAGTGATCTTTGAGATCCCCAATCTAAAAAAAAAAATCAAAGAAAATATGCTGCATCATCATTTCTTAAACCTTTTGTCTGCAACAATGTCCAGAAATGTCTTCTCCCCTGGTTTCAGCTTTTCTGGTAGATATATTTTCATGTTTTAATTTTAATTTTTTTTTTCACATAACAGTTTCTAGATCTACATGTGCTTTCTGCCTCTGTTCCCTTTGTTCTTGTTCCTAAGGAGTAATATTTATGACTTTTTATTACTTTATGGGTGCATGCTTGACTTATTGTGCTGATCAGGAATCCAAAAGTCCAGTGTTAAAACTCTCTCAGTGTAGGCTTAAACAAACAAGGGGTACAGGAGTTTCCCAGGTGAAGAAATTCTGCTAAAAAAAAATATGCTTTTGCAACAAAAAAAAGCCAGGTATTGTTCCAATAAAGGTTTTTTTTAATTTATTTCAATACATAAAGTTTATTTTTTATCATTATTTCAGGAAATTAGAGTTGGGCACAAACATCAGACCAAAACAGGCAAAGACACAGAGACATGCAGGCCCACAATCAGAAAAGGGTTGTGAGTGACAGAGGACGAGGACAAAAGACACAAAGACAAACAACAGTAGACAGACGGCAAGCTGCTGGATGCTGATTACTTTTAATAATTGATAAGGACCATACAACCCCTCAGATGATCAAACTGTCATGGCTGCCAAGGGTCCTGTGGTGTGTCACTGATCCGTGGCTGAAATCCACCACCACAGGGCTCATTAGAGCAGCTTTCCGCTCATATACCTACAAGCATTCTGCTACTTGCAGTAAGATAAGATGACAAAACAACAAATAAGTGCCAATAAATGTGCATTTGACACCCTCAGCACAGCCTCGGTGTGTGCTGATCTAATTTTGAATGACAATGTGCGACCCAAATGGAAAAACGCAAAGAGGGGCACAACATGAGCAGAAACTTTGGTTCCTGGATTGGACTGTGACAAAACACCCCCTCTAGTCAGAGATTCATGACTTGTGTTGTTTCATTAAATGTCTCTAAATTTCTCTGCATTTCAGCATAACAATCCGGTCAAAAGTGGAACACAGTTTCAGTTGCTGTGTCAAAACTCCAAATTTCAAACTACTTGTTCAGCTTTTGATCCGATCAGCATGTCACACACATGGAAACAACAGGACAGACCCAAACATGTCACAGGAAGATCAGTGAGCACACAGACAAACACATAACAGGATTCTGCCTATGCAATGAAAAAAAAATCTCGTGTCAACAGAAATGTGAATGGATTGCAACATGTGTTTTCCAGCATCGTCTTGTACAAATAGGCCAGCCTGCAGTAGTTACTGGGCAAGCATGACACGATGGTGGTGAAAAACAACGACCAACCAAACAATATCTCCTCCCAACCTGGAAGCAAAACAAGGGATGCAGACTTATATCAGCTTTTCGTTGCTATCAGACAACGTTCAGCCTGTTAGCTAAAAGGGAAACATCAGCCTGTGGTGGTGGCGGATACTTATCTGATGTTAAATCACTAGATATGTTGTCATCATGGCCCTGAGGCTTTCAAAAGACACATCCTTTGAAAGCCTCAGGGCTGGCACGTCAGCATGCACTTGCATGGTATGTTAGCAGGAGTTTTAACCCCCCCATATTCATCCAGGACCACCACAAACAGGACAGAGAGCACTGCGCCCCATTTGAGGCAACTGGAGGTCTAAGATCTTGACCAAATACTCCTCCATACTTTGCCTGGGATCATAACATCACCAGATACATTGGGATATGATCTTTTATGGGCATAAAAAAAATGTTCAGCTACTAAGAAGTCATTAGTTTGTTACGTTTTTGTATGTTTGTTTGGTTTAAGTTCCATTAGTTTCCACTACAAACGAAACAATATCTTAATTCATTCAAAAACATCAGCCAATGTACTGACTTTTTAACATTAGTGTTGGTCCATATCACTTCATCCTTCACCAAAGTAGCAGAAGATAGACACGGAAACCAAAAAAAGTAAAGATTTCAGAGAAAAGTCAGAAAAGCTATATATTCTCTTCTGCGCCGATGACCTGATGGTGAGTTTTTGCTCCAAAAGCAAAAAGCTTGAAGTGAGGTTTTTTTGATGGATAATTTCAAACACTGGTTGAATAAGATTTGTGCGTTTGAGGCATTTTGGGGAAGTTTTACTTAATGGTACTTGAGCCTTGCAAACTCTCCAGAAACAAAACCCAGCAAGATTGACACCCTCAGCAAACGGTGAAGAAACAGCACAAATAGCACAAGAGATCTTTTGAAATGATCCTGATCCGAGCGCCCCCTCTCACTTGGCCTTACGTCCTCTTCCATCTCTTGGAACAGCAATGTGGTCAGATATCTGGGGGCTTGTCAGCTGATTTAAACTCAATTTGGGCAAGTGTCTTAGACTGGGAAGGGGGCTCTATGGCTAAGAGGATTACCCAGAATTCCCCAACGAGGTGCTCTCTCACCCCATGCCAACTCTTTTCATCCGTCCGTCCATCCATCCTTTCTTTCCCTCCCTTATTCTTCCATCTATCAGTGTTTGCTTATCTTTGTCCGATTTCCTCTCTTCAACACTGTCAAGAAGACCACATTGTCCCTCGGCCACATTCTTTCCCTTCCCATCCCCACCCCCCCGTAGTCTCTTTCTTTTACTGCCTTGCACCCCCTAAGGATTAAAACATTATTTCACATGCATATCATATCTGATCCTTTATCACCGTCGGTCAAAACCTTAACTCATTGACTGCCAGCCATTTTCAGAACAGAGAGTCGCTCACTGCCAGAGTTTTTTGAGAATTTTGACTGATTTTTCAAGAGCCACAGAATAGTTTGTGCTATGACTATGTAAACACCGGACACACCAAAAGAAAGAGTAGACTCTCTTCTTTCATCAGGAAAAAAGATTTTGTTTCTACCTTATTCCGTTCTTCTTCGACGTGCGTCTCACCGGCGCCATTTCTCTCATAGCGAACCATTGCGTTTGTTTTTATTTGCTTACAATCTATGCTAATCTCTCATCAAAAGTGGCACAGCTACCTAGAGGGTAAATTTGTTACTACATACTCTGTCTAGAAGCCGATATTTACGGAAAAACTTTCGCCGATCGTCCCCCAAGCCACTCGCATTGAAAAACATAAAAGACGTCTATAGACGTCTTTGGCAGTCAGCGGTTGGATTTGAAAAGACGTCTATAGACGTCTTTGGCAGCGAATGAGTTAACGGTCAACGGAAGTTTAACATTGTACTATAAATATATAAATAAAAGTTTAAAAATTAGGTGACCTCTACTGAATAATTCAGCTTCACTCTTAATACACATTAGCGTTGCAATGATAAACAGGGGGGGGGGGGACTTGATGACAAGGATGTGGGAGTTCACATGAGGAAACCAGAGTGTGCTGTTATCACTCCCATGGGGGAGGCTTTCTTCTGACCCCAGAACCAGGAAGTGAAGTAAAACTCTTGTCTATGAGGTGTCAAAGTCCAATGAACGCACCATATTGAGATGGAAATGAGGGCGCATGGTGGGGGTTGGGGACGACACTCCACTCCCTGGGGAATTCCTATGGGGGTGTAGTATGGAAAGGGGTTACTCCACACATTAGTTGCTGTCAAAGAGAGGGGATAAACGAGGCCATTAAGGCCTGCTGTCCTGGGAGTACGGTGGGTGGGCAGGCGGGATAAGGTGGAGAGGGAGGAGCAAGGGGGGGTTCAATAGCTGTTGACTAGGCTACCCCACAACAACCTGTCAGAATGCCCCCTCCTTCTGCAGTCCAATGCTGGCAAGTGCAGGCATGAACTACCCGTGTGTAAAGGCTGTGCTGGAAAACGTGTGCGGTCCATATTTGTGTGGCCTATTTCTTCTCCTCGGAACATGTGAGGTTTCTCTTTTGTGCGGTTGATTTTTGTTTTTTTTGTTAAAGAATTTAGGATCGCACGTCCAAGTCACCAAAAACTAGTCCTTGCTGACGTGTGCTGATTTCTAGTCACTCAGAAAATCTGATGATGTGGAGGGGGAAAAAAAAGAAAAAAAAACATTTGACCAACCCTTTTCTGCTCAGGATTTCTTTAAACATACATGTTGGGAAATCTTTTACAGGACCCTGCTTTAAGCCCTGAATATTGTCAAGACTGCTGCTGGAGGCACTTAAACATCGTTTGGATGAAATATTTCTTAGGTAACGGCGAATAAATACGATGCTCATTTCAAAATACCATCAGAAAACAGCAGTGGTGAAATGTTCTGGTACTTCATCTCAAGCAGGGCCCTGTTCTGAAGCAGCTGAGCCAGGCAGCAGCGCAACACACCATCTTGTTCCATGCAATATTAAGAGCACACATATGTCGCCTCCGCTTTCATTTAGAGGCAAAGCAAAAACAGGGTTAATCTGGGAGTATTTCTGACCCAGATATAATGGTAGACCTGGAGAGGGAACGCCATCCCTTCTCTTCAGGAGAATGGCACCATGTGTAAAGCTCAAACTTTGAAGTTGTGGACCTTCTGGGGTCACTTCAACATGGTGACATGTTGGCTGGTCTGACTCCTGAGCCCTGACGGCCACGTAAAGAGGCAGCAGAGGCTGAGACCGAGCTCAGCGTGCCTGGATCGGATCTGTGCACACGCAGTTGTGGAAGCACCTGTTGTGCCACCCTGGACCTGCGGCTTTTGTTCCCCTTCGGCTTTTTTTCTGCCCTCGTCTGAGAGTCAGAGAGCGCCCCGGGAGTTCATAGACGGTTTGGTAGCTCGGACCCGTGAGGTCAAAGACCCCTCACGTTTTGTCCACCGGCTAAAGACAACAAACCCCATCGCTCTTCCCCGTCCAGAAGAGTTGGTGACAGCGAGAAAGCACAAAGGCGAAAGAAATAAGAAGCGACTTGAAAGCAGAGAAACGTGCCACCTACCTGTCCCATGTTCCTATAGCCATATTTTTCCGCTATCCGGTCGGCCACCTCGGGTCCTCCGGCTATCCTGACTGCCCAGTGGTTGGTGTAAATCCGAGCTTTGCACGGCGAGGACGCAAAGCCAAGACTAAGCGCCAGGACGCAGAGCAAGCTTCTTCTCCAAGCGGCGTTGTGGACCATCTTCCCCCACTTTTAACCAGACTTTTCTCCTCCTCAGCCGACCGGGCAAACAACCAAACTTCTCTTCTCTCCCAGCAAGAGTCTCATAGAAACACAAATACCCGGGCAAAAAATTTAAAAAATGTAAAAGAAAAGAAAAAAAACACAGAGGGGGGGAAGAGAGGGACAGAGAGGGGAAGAATAAAGCCCCCGAAGAGGAAAAATACACCTTATCTCCAAACCTCAGCTTTCCACATGGGAGAGTTGGAAGTTCGTGTGTCCTCTCTCTGCTCCTCTCTCCCTCTTTTCTCCACGGAGGTCGAGAAGGAAATGTGCGTGTCCGCGAGCTGTGCGTAGTCGCGCGCGAGTTGGTGTTCGTTCGCGTGCGTGCGCGCGCGCAGGGCTCCTCAAAGCTGAATTCTCTTCTCCACCGACAAACTCGGATGTTGGTCGTTCAGCTCATCGGGCTTTCATGTGGCGAAATGGCTACAGCGCCTCCCCACAAATAACTAGCTGACACTCCGGAGAGTAGAAACAACTAAAGCCGCGGGGTTTCCCTGCCGAGCTCCGCCGGGTCTTAAAGACACCCTGTTTGGTTCCGCCGCTCACGCGCCAGGCCGCCACGGCTCAGGGAGGGCTCGAACCCGGGGCCACAGAGCCCCACGGGGGCCAGCTTCGAGGTCTTTAAAAAGTGAATTAGAAATTATTCACTCCAGAGCTGATTGGGAGTTACTTACCTGAATATATGTTTAGGCTAAAAATGCCGATTTATTTTTTTTGCTGTCAACTTGAAAGACACAGTGACCCATGGAATGAATAAGAAACATTCAGTGCTCATGTGTCAAATGCCCCCCCATCCCTTCCAGTCAAGGAGCAAGGCAGCCAGACTGAACCAGACACAACCACAACCATGCAAACTTGATTTGTGGATATTCGGTGTGGGTTTGCCCAGCAGATGCTTTTCATCACTCCATTCCTATTTCATGGTTGTTTTTCTCTACGAGTCATCTCGAGCTGGTTTGATCCCATTTTGGATCAGCTGACTCCCGTGTTGCGTTTCCCATCTCATTTTGGCATGTGTTGCATCTCACTGTGGCCATATTGTCACTGTGTGGTCACCCTTTGTTCTTTTAGTGCCTCCATTGGGTTGCTTTTATGTCCCTTCCTTGACAATGGTTTTCGTTTCAGCAATAAACACTTGAGGGCCAACCAAATCTAGGGCATATTCACTTATCTGTCCATATATACAGCTGACAGGCTCATGTCTATGTTTATATTACCACATTGTATCATATATAAAAAGTTACAGTATCATCAATCATGATACCTTTTTTAAAAATCAATCACAAAATATCACTGACAAAATATCTGACAGAATAGAAACAATACACGATTTCCTGAACGTCTTAAGATGTAAAAGTAAAACCTTTCCAAGTTTTGAGGAATGACAGAAACATGTAAACACACAAAAAAAGTTCCTGCAAACCAAAACACCAGTGACAAATCTTTACTTTTCTTTTTTTAAATTATTATTACATGCATTACATTTCAGATACTAGTGCCCTGGCTGTTGAATGCAACCCTTGTCAGTCTGTTGGGCAATATTGACACAGACATACCAGTGTAAACTATGCATAAACTGTGACCTCTTCCTCAGTCATCATCCCCAGAAACCAGCAATGATATTAATGAAAATGAAAAACTTTTTTAAAAACTATTTTAATGGTATTTTCTCTAAAACAATAACCTCCTTTAGTACTATTAATTGAATCTTTTTTTTCTTTTCCGGTTATAATTAACGTTTTACTGTGTGAACCACTTATGAGAGATGATCTGAATAACAGGAATTTTTTTTTTCTGAAGGGGGTTTTTCCTCCCGCGCATTAGCAGAGCTCAGGTGTGCTGATGAGCAGCGTACTGTAACGGATAACCGAATGTCTGGGCGACACAGCAACAACTGACGGTTAAACAGTCTGCCCTTTATGCTGGCTTTGCTGCATATTTCCCCCTAATCAGTGCAGCTCTAGATGTCATGGCCCCCCACTGCAGCCCAGGTCACAGCTGACTAAATGCTGTCATTATGGAATGCGTCTGGTTTGATGCGCCGCTGAGGCTTTCATTCAAGGCTTTTGTTGATTGATGGCTTTTTGTTTTGCAGCAATTTTCCGGGGATGTCTCCGTACAGCAAAAACTCTGTTTTGCATGGGACACAAGTGAAAATCAGCATAATTGCACTAATTGCAGACAGTTTCTTGCTGAATGGACCCGCTGTCACTTTTCACAACAAGCAGGAGGATAAGAGCATCTCATGGTTCCCCAAACGGAGATGAAAGGGGGCTAAATAAGAGAAGCATCCAGTTCTAGTTCCCCATTCAGCCGGATGGAGGGGTTTGTAATTTAAAGACAAAAAAAAGGGGAAAGAAGACAAAACACAGCAGAAATGTATTTTAGTATGAAATCAAGCACCCAGATCACGAGGCGGCCTTCATCGCCAGGGCCCCCGGTTTCCATTCAGGTCTTAGCTGTTGCGATATCCTGTGTGACAGCTCCACAGCTTCCCGTGTTTCTCAAGGGAGTGAACCGAGTGAACCCCAACAAAACGTCTTTGTCAACATCTGAGAACAGAGTGGTCACAAGTGTCAACAAACACTGAGGGGCATTCCTGTCAGCATTCCTGTGCCTCTTCACAGAAATAACAGGGTGAATCGTGTTTTTAGGCCAAACAAAGTTTGAGGGAACTTACTACACAGTTACACAACTTTCGTGACACGTTACAATGGAAGGCCCCACAGGGAAAACACAGCCAACCAGCTTCATTCACCAGGGACACGGCTAATTTGTTCATTCAGTTTCAACCCCAGCACTTCCAGAGAGGAACCTCCCACATGATTTTCTTGTTTTATTAAGACAAGTTAGCCACCAAGTGTTTGAAGTCTGCCTGGGATTGCTTATGAGCACCTCTATCATTTCGTTCCGTCTCTGTCAGGGCCCCCCCAGTTCCTCTCTTCTTTCTTTATGCTTTGTTTTTGGGACAAACATGGCCCCCCATGCTCTTTTGACCTTATTTTACTCTTCTTTCTTTCTGTTATATACCTTACTGCACCTCCATTTTTTTGTTTGTTATCTAAAGACCCACCACTCTGGTATCTGTGTCTTTGTGGGTGGCCTCAAAGGAAAGCTTGGGTTGGCCTTTCAACTTCACTTTGACCTTCGACCATGTTGCTGTTGGTTCTGCACTTAATCAACAAAAGCACCTGCCACTCACTGACTTTCTGTCCTCCCTGTTCATCATCGTCATCATCATCACCTTCCATAAGGCATCCCTCTCCTCTTCCTCCTCTTTGTCAGCCACATTCCAGAGTTATACAGGCATTTCTGGATGTTCACACACTCCACACAGAGCGGGGACAAAGAAAAGGAGCCACTGAGAGTGCACAACAGTCAAATGAAACATTGTTGCTGTGAATTCAAAAGTCCAGTCAATTCCAGTTTTCCTGGAATTCAGGGCTATGGGCCACCACATAAATTACAGACAATAACCATATGAGTGCTACAAATAAAGTAATAGTTTATTCAATCTAATCATATCATTGGGCATGAGCACCTAGGAGACTCCTCGTTTCTTGTTTTGTTTCACATCATATTGAGCTCAGTGTTATTTGAGTAACCATTTTGTCTCACAAGCAGTGAGATCCATATTTAAAAACTTACTAGACTAATTGAAATAGTTATGTAATCGCAAATAATTTTTATAAAAATGATTACATCATGTAGATTCCTGTAAAAACAGACCAACTTGGCCTGTGCTCCTTTGTCAGAAGGTTGGGGATCCAGTTACACACACCCCCAGCAGCAGTTATACACTGCTATCTGGTGGTGACTGGTAAGACTACACGACAGACCACATGAGTAGAAAACCAGAATGTTGGCGTTTGAGTTGAATTATAAACATATGTATAACCTGATGGACTCAGTCCTGCCTAAATCCTGTCCGTTTTTCAGCACTGTGTAATTACATATTTGTAACTCATCTTAATGGTGCAGTTTGTTCAGTCTTAGGAATGTCTGGCTAGTAGACCGTGAACATTCATTGTTCTGCACCACTTCCAGTGCTCCATCTTCCATTGTGACAAATGAGGCCATGAAATTAAAAACAGAGGATGACCTCATAGTTTAACCTACAAAAAAAAAGCTTTGTGTTAACTCCTCTTTTTGCTTTTGTTCTGTATGGCATATTCTTCCTCATTGGATGAGAATGTATGAGGACTCCCTGACAAACATCATCTCCTGTTAAAGCTTCAACAACTACTGGCTCATGTCAGAATGGGACCAGTGAATTCACACCAACCCATTTAAGGTCAGGTCTTTGTTGCTTGCCCCTGAAGTGAGTTTTGATTCCAAGTAACATGTTTAATAGGTGGTGTCTGTTGACAGGTCCTCTGACGAGTCACTTATTCATGTTAGGCCACTGCGGTGGAGCACTTGGAAAAAATAAGTTTAATCCAATTTCAGCTAATTACATTTTTCTGAAGAACAGATTTATTTCACACCTCACCAAAGCTAAAAATCTGAAAAGAAATTGGTCTCCTACAATTCTCAAGGACACTCCTAAATATCACCTCACTAAATTACAGCAAGTAGACTGATGGATCAATACTCTATTGACCTCCACCCACCCAGAGTAGAAAAAACAAGAATTATGGATACATATTTACCAAAGGAAGTCCTTTTCATTCTAAAAAAAAAGTTTTTGGCCATGAAGCCACTGACCAACCATGATAAACACCAACATATTTTGCTTGATATGGTATCAAAGACTGCTAAAATTATAAATGAAGATACTTTTTAACTTACCATTTATCAGGACTTAGGCTACAAATAACCTGAGAATGATTGATAGATTTGATATTCAAACAAAACACAGATCACCATTCCAACTGCTCAGAACTTTATTTCGGGAGAAATGAGGGTTAAAATTAAATTAAAATATAAAATTTAGATGGGCAGGTCTATCTTTAAAAGGGGAAGGTATTGACACAGGGAGGAGTCAGCTTCCAGAGAGACAGAGTGGCCAGAGGGGAAGCTGCAAAAAAAGGGTTAATGGGGATGAGCTTGGCCATTGAGGAAGTCGATGTATAAAAAGAAAATAAAAAGGAGACAGATGCAGTTAGTCATTATAAACCCCACCCCCATCTGAAGTGTCCTCATATGCAATCAGTGCTGCTGCGCTCTCCTTTTCCTTTTTTCTAGTTTCTTCCAGAAGGGTCTGATGATTTATCCTCTTCACTCCATTTCATCATTGTAATCTCATTCTGTTTCAACGTAACATTTTTTCCTGCAGTTTTGAAAAAAGTAAACAAAAGTCCTTCAAAAATAAAATGCAGCAACCACATTTCATGTTCTACTATTACATATACAGTATATATATATATTTATATATATAAATACATACATAAATATCTTACATGTACAACCAATTTTGAAAAGAGGGGGAGGGAGAGAACCCAAAAGACTTATGAGGACATGGGAGGTGGGGGGAGCGAGGTTGCCCATTGACAAGATAGTGTCTGTTTGCGATTTTGTTTTAGCTCTACACACGCATACAGCCTTTTGGGGGAGGTGGGGTGGGGCTGGGGAGCATTCCTCAATTTGCCCAGTATGGTGAGCTGCCGTAGCTGGACTTGCTGCCTTGGGTTTTCTGCTGCATACCGCTGGACTGACTGCGCTGACCAGGCCCACCCTGCGAAGAAGTACACATCCATACAGCAGATGGTTATGGGAAATGCATAATTATAAGTGTGTTAAAAGACTTGAATGTAGAAAAGAAAAAAGAATCACATTTCAAATTAAAAGCAAAAATTGTTAAGAAAAAGTATGAACTATTTTTCACCTACAACTGGTGTAAAACAAATTCTTCCAACAATACAAAGTTTTTGAGGGTGTTTATCGGTTTGTTTCTACCTGTCCATCCTGAGTGAGATGATGGTGCAGCAGCTGGGAGTGCGGCTGTTGGTGTGGAGGCAAGATGTGCAGGAAAGGAGCAGGCGCATAGCCAGGTGCACCTCCAGGGTTCAGGGGTCCTGTTCCTCCCAGTGCTGAGGGAAGGCTGAAGGGAGGTGGGGTCCCTGTGTGGAAGCCCTGTTTGTCAAAAGACTGAGGAGACCAAAAAGCAGGAGAGAGTAATTAGCACATATAGTGGATTTTACTAAAAATACATCTTTATTTTTTCAATATTTTATGTAAACACATTTATTTACCCTCAATGAAAACATCAGTTGGCAACAGCCACCATGAAAATAAAAAACTTCTAAAACAATAAATCACCTGAGTTTTGCTGTAGATAGAACCTCCCATATCAGGTACTCCACCACTGGTTCCCGTTCCTGACAATCCTGGGGCTGAGAGGAGAATGAAGAGTGTAAAAAGTTGGAGGGGACAGGTGAAATTAATGGGGATTAACCACTAACAGCCTGAACCTGACAGCTTATTCATTAACATATTTTTCCAGTGTTGGTAGGATGGGCATATAAACTGAGGGGGTGTGGAGACATTTTCACCATGTTTTCACCATCATTTGGCATATGATGCTCCATACCAGCATGGACGAAAATAACACACCATGGGGCTATCCTACCCACTTTGTGCATTGATGACAGGATGCACCTGTTTTGTGTGTACCTTTTCCAGGGCCGCTGCCCGCTGACTTGGCCTGTGATTGGGCTGACCCTCCATACCCTGCTTTATTGTAGTCCCCACCATGGGCTTGAGACAGGTCATCAAAGGCTGAAGGAGAGGCAAGAGTGCAGAAAAGAATTGGGGGGAATTAGTAGTTAGGTAACAACGAGCCAGCTATGCAAGCAGGAAAAACAAAACAAAAAAAAACCCTCACATCTAAAACTCAAACCAAATTAAACATGAATCAGAGCTTCTTCTTTTCAAAGTTAAATAATTTAAGGCAAGATTCACATAGTTGGTAATAAGTTCAATGAACACATCATCTAAATTAAGAACTAGCTTATGGTTAATTTTAAATAAGTCTGAGGAGGTTGTATTATGTTAACAATTTGAAAAACAAGAACAGTCAGAGCCATCATTTAGTCCTGGCTATACCTGTTCCATATGTGTGCTGTCCGTAACTGGGCTGATGCTGTTGGTGGTACTGATTGGAGGGGTTGGCCAGGCCCACTGTAGGCTGCTTGGCTGAGGCTGGAGGCACAAAGACTGTGGGACCATACTGGAAGGCTGAGGGAACCCCAGGCATGCCAGCATAGTATGGCAGACCTGTGAGGTGGTGGATAGAAATCAAAATAAATTAAAAAAAGACAAATTACACAATGAAAGCAGTTTAGATTTTTTTTAAATACGTTTTTAAAAAAATTTGCAAGAATTGATCAAATCTGTCAACACAGACAAGTGTGGTCTAATCCATGTTTTACCAATCATGTAAAACAAAACTTTTATTTAACTTTTTTTATCCCCAAGCTAAGCCTGAGGCTTCTAACAAACAATAACATTGCCTCCATATTTAAGAGCTAAAACAGATCTAAGCCCAGAGGAGCCCAGGCAGTAAATTTAAATTGGCAGAAAAACAATAGACATTGATGTCATTTAGCACAAACCCTGCTTTTCCTTACCCGTGTATCCATAGCCGGGGGGTAGAGGGGGGTTGAGGAAGGCCTGGTTCTGTGTCTGTTGACCCTGGTTCTGACCCTGGCCTTGCCCTTGTGTACCTGCCTGCTGTGTCTGTTGGGCCTGTGACTGCACACCGGTTGAGGACAGGCTGGTTGAGGGAGCTGGGGATGAAGAGTCATTCCTGCCAAACTTTGTAGCCTCACCTGAACAGACAAATTAGAGGTAAAATGAGGTGACACGGGTTATTGCAAAGATTTAGAAAAGGTTTAGAACTAATAAGGTGAAAGTTGTAAAATATGCCAAAGGGGCCACCAAATAAAAGTGGAACACCTCAGTATAAGTGTTTTTTTTTTTCATAAATTGAAAGAAAAAAATGAATATATAACAATGAGATAGTTGAACTACTTAAGTGTAAATGAGATTCAACATCAGCTCAAACAAAGCACAAAATAAAAAATATGAATGTATTCACCAGAATAAGGGTTATTTGCCAGGCCATCTCTTCCAGGTATAGGAGCTGTAGCACCAGGGAATGTTACACCATAGTAGTCCTGTTTAGAAAGAGACAATTAAAACAGTTTTTCCTGTACCGCCGGCTTGCTTTTAATTAATCTGCCAAAAACTGTTCCCAAAGCTCATTGTACGTTTCAGCTAGTTAGAGACCAAACTGACCAATTGGCATGCATCTACAAACAAGACACTCACCAAAGGAAGCCGAGATTGCAGCATTTGCAATTCTTCATATCCATAAATCTGCTATTGAAGGAAAAGGGGAGCAGGTTCATTATCCAACAAAATGCTTGATTCTTTAATGAATCTCAGTGAGTTTGAAAACAAATCGTAGTCATGTAATATGCTTTTAACACAACATTATTAAAGACAAACAAACTAACAGAAAACACCGGAGTGTAAATTAACAATCCTGAAAGCATGTCTTTACCGGGTAAGCAGGGAGCAAGCCACCAGGACCCATAATGTACTGGTTGGCTAGGAGAGGTGGTACTCCTTGCGCCAAGTTAGGAGGAGCTTTACCTGTGGACAAATAGAAATAGGGTTAACCTACTGCTGACCTTTAAAATAATGATAATCAGTTATGTACTGAGATAGTCATTATTTAAGGAATCCCCTTAAAGTTCAGTTCTGCATCCAGGTAATCATGACTATACCAGAGGTGGCGGTGAGCAGAGGTGCCGTGCGGGTGCCTGCAACAGAGGGGGTGGTGTTTGTGCCGTTTGAAATTAGTCCAGGTGCTCCGGATTGGTGCAGGCCATTTGTAGATGAGCTATTAAGAGTTGGGGGGGCGCTGGGATTGACAACCTGACTGGTTGACGATGATGATGAAAAGGCATTGAGGTTGGTGCTGCTCTCCTCAGTTATCTTATGAGAAAAAACATAAGAAACCACAGATTTCGTCAAAAATGTTTACAAAACATTCTGCCTTAACTTAACTATACAATGATGTGCAAAAATGTGATCGGAGGATGATGTCAAAATCTTTTTGCTGACTATGCAAAAACTCACTGTGAGGGAGGAGCTTGTGGCAAGAGCAGATCCAGCTGGCTGAGTGCTGCTCACATGACTGCAAAGACAGGAAAATAATAAATCCATTTTAATATGAGGAAGCCACGACTTTAGCAAAAAGGTGAGAATCTGAACATCTGAACATTACTTCCACATAACAGTATTACAAAACACTCATCTGTATTTAGAACATTTTAAGATTGAATTTTTCTGCACAGATTCAATATTTAGGCTATGTTCAAACTGCATGTCAAATGTGGCTTGAATCCGATTTTTTGCTCAAAGGTCCCTTTTCTTCCTGACAGGAGAAACAACACAAGTCTATTTCAATTCTGGCCACTTCACTATGTAATATCAAACTAGATATAGGTTATTACATTCATTTTTTTAAAAGTAAAATCTATTAGAAGGATTGAACCAGCTCTTACCTGCTGAGTGAGGTGATGGATGTCGAGTGGGAAGGTGTCACTGCAGGAGAAGGGACGTGGTGGCCTGAACCACTCTCACTCGTCATTACAGGAGACTCAGTTTTTACTGTTCTAGATGATGATGTAGCTGGTTTTAACAAAGACAAAAAAGAGATACTGATTTGATCAAAATTCTTAAATATTCAAGTTACATAATATATGTGGGAGAATGGACTCATGAAGGTAGTTGCTTTCTGTAAGTTTGAACAATTATTCAATTCATTCTTAATTCCATTGAAACACTTTAAAGGGAACAGAAGGTCAAATAACTCACTTTCCTGTGTGCTCTGTGTCTTCATGCTGCCATAGCCATTCTGTAAAAAAAGAAATGTTCACAGTCTCACACTCAATTTTAACGTCAATAATTATCTTAGTTTCAATTGCTCCAATGGTTCCCTTTTGTTTGGAGTTTAAAGTGTACAGACAGAAAAGGTTTGTCCTCACCGTCAGAGAGGCGTTAGCAGCTGATGGAACATCTTTGCTCTGAGGGAAGCCAAGATGAGGCAGAGTTCTGGGGCCACCATTATCCACACGACTGGCTGTTGTTGGGAGATTTGTGGAGGTTGGTGCTGCTGCACTGGGGAGACCAAGGGAGGGGGATGGAGTAGCACTGGGCAAGCCCAAAGACGGTGAAGGGAAACTGGGATCTGCAGCACCTGATGGTAAGCTGCTCATGTGTTCACTGTTCAGAGCAAAAAGAAAAGTATGGGAGGGATGCCGGATTAGAAAAGAACGTTCAAAACAAAAAAGGTAAGGGTTTGTCCACATTTTTCTTTTTTGTTTGAAGGGGAGTTCAGGCAAGACCACAGCTGGCTAACAAATAATTTAACATTAGGCATTTTTAAAGCGGGGAAATCTTGGTATGCATTCTTGATGTAGTCTCGTGGGTTGAACAGAATGGAAAATACAAAAGATAACATCCATTCATCACATTTTTCCTGTACATTCTCACTCATAACTGGAATAGCAGGAAATCACGGTGCATAATGGCTACCACGGTTCAGCTGACCACTCTCTCCCCTATTTTTCTTGAAAACGCAGTCTATTTAATGTATTCTTATTTATGACCTGATTTTTTCTCTTTCCCCTTATAAACTGCTTTCCCCGAATAATAAAAGCTTCTTTTTTTTTATACAGAACAACAACTTTTCAGAAGAGGAACATTTTCTGTTGTCAAACATGACAGTCACTTCATGGAGTAATATTTAAATTCATACCCATATTTCTACATAAAATAAGAAGTAACAAACTAGTCACATGTCTGCTCTAAATGTCTCAGAAGGGCTTGATTCCCAAAACCTGTACCTCAGAAATTTCAGAACACACACATACCTCACTGCTCCTGGCTTGGAGTATTTGCTGCTCTGTGATGGTTGTGTGGGAACAGCTGGAGGAACAGACATAATTGCAGGTGCATGTTCCCTGGTAGACTCGGGTTGAGACATGTCAACTGTTCCACTTCCTGCCTCAGACCCAAAGTCGAGAGCTCCAAACTGAACATTGAGACCTGATACATCTGCTGAGCCTGGCATTTCCACAGCTGATGATGGAATCTATGGCAGAAACATGGCTATGTTATCACACAAGCTGAGAAGAAAAACAATTGCCTTTCATATTATCACTTATTTCACTAATAATAGTGCTCTTTAACCATTTCAGCTTGGACCTTATTACATACTTTGGACTATGCAAAAGCTCTTAACATCACCAGAATATACCTTTGATGGAGGAGGTGCTCTGCGTCTCTGTGTCTTTATCTGCCGCTGAGGAGGCTCAGCTATTGGAGACTCCAGGCCTGACAACTTGCTGATAGGAGAAGCTCCATCTCCAACAGAAGCAAAGGACTCATGGCCTAAAATGTAAAGAAACCAGTGTAACTAAAGTCACAGCACTAGGATCTAACAACTTTAACTCAGTCCTGATTTGAAGCCCAACCTGGTGGGGTGGGGGCCTGAGCTGCATGCGACTGAGATAATCCCAGAGGTTCTGTGGAGGGGAGGTTGGAGGACTGTTGCTGCCTCTGAGCCAGCTGGCTGAGCACTGCCGATGGTTCTGGCTGAAGCTTGATTTCCACTAAGGAAAATAGAAAAAATAATTAGAATCAATACATTTTCCTTTTGAGAGTGAATAGATGTGTTAAACATTTTGGCCTTGACTTGTTGGAGATAATCTTACCGTGTTGGGTTGTAACTGGGCCATTCTCAACTCTCTGTGGCTTGGTGTCAGCAGAGGCTGAGGGAGCAGGAGCTGGACTTTGCATTTGAGCTGACCCTGCATCTTTGGAAACACTAGTGCTGCTGGTGGTTGCCAACATCTGACTTGCTCTTTGACCAAGTCGCGGCCCGTTGAGTTGCTCTGATGTCCGAATGTCAGGTGCTGGTGTCTGCTTTGGTGCATTCAAGGAACCAGAACCAATGACTGAGGACTGGGAGCACAACAAAGGCAAAAGAAACTGTGAACAACGATGAATCATCAGCGTCATGCATTAAATGCAAGTCCTTTTTGTGAATTAAAGTATGCATGAGGCTGTGAATACCAGTGCAGCATGTGCATAGGTGGTGCTAGCAGAGGCGGCATGGGCGTAGGTGTTGGCCGTGGCATGTGCGTAGCTGTGTGTTGCAGTGCGTCCATTGTGGTGGGAATTTGTGAACACTAGGCTTTGGCCTAAATCCTCAGCAGAGGGACCATCGACTATCCCTCCCAGGTCAGAATCCACAGAACGTCCAGTCTTTGGCAGTAGGCTAGCCAGGTCCACACTGAAGAAATTACGTTTCAGGTTGAATAAAATGTGATTCTTAAGAATGTATCCTATTGACTACATTTTTAGTAAATCTTCACTGAAGATGGCTTACTTATGTCCAGGTGCTATGTGGTTTGATGGAGCAGAAGAGGCAGTGAATACTTTGGTCTCAGACAACTGTGAAATAACAGCAAACAAAGTAATCTAATATTAGTATATATTCTGTTATATTACACAACTTACAAGACTGTAAAAATAACTTCTCCATTTTAATGAAGTCTTCTGTAACAGGGAAAACCACTACATAGTTAAAATCAAATCAATAAATAATATTTATGTGGATTCGAATAGCACTGCAAATTTCGTTGTAACTCAGATGAGCTGCCTTACATCCTCATTCCATTCTTCTGAATTCCAGTCTTCCAGATTGCCTCCCCATGTTCCTAAGAAAACAGAAGCATCCCAGTCAGTACATTAACAAACTGAGATTTACATCTTCACCATTTCAAAGCAAATGTTGGTTTGGTTTAACACATTGCAGCATGGAATTAAAATGTTATGTTACTAAAAAAAATAACTGATACCTATGTTTTAGAAAAATCAAGCTAAATGAGAATCAGGTGCAGGAACTCGTATCAAAATGTTATCTTATTTTCTGTTTAGGCATTTCATTTACCAGTTCCCTCAGCAGTTTCGTTGCCATCCCCTTCCCAACTCTCCTGCCGGGCTCCAGAGTTAGCAGTGTAATCAGCAGGATTGAAGGTGCTGATGGAGGACAGTGGAGTGGACAGCAAGGGAGGTGAAAAAATGTAGAGAAAGTTAGAATTCACTCATAAAACATAGTCCTACATTTTTCCTCCCCACCAGGAGAATCAGAAATGAAATTTTTCCACATGATTGTTTTTCTAGATATGTGCTTGGAATCAACATCACAACCTCCTTAAATGATTTCAGGCATAAGATACATTCTTCTTATTACACATATTCTTACCCCATTCCCTGTGAAGAGAACCTGCTACCACCAGCTGCTCTACCTCTGCCACGAACCCCCACACCTGAAAAAAGAAAGAGAACAGCCACTGCTAATTGATCAAGTATCAAACTTTACTTTAAGGAAACATATGTCATTAATCTGTGACAGGATATGACACAATTTTCTAAAGTATTTTGTAAAAAATAAAGAAAAACAAAAGTTCCTGCTTAAGTGATACACTAGCGTCACTTCTCAAATACAGAGAATTCCTGCCATGAACAGGGAAGTAAAAGCAAAGAAACATTACTTATTCATGTATGTGAGGATTACACGTTATTCTATGTGTGTTGTGTATGTATTCCATAAGTGTTCAGGGCCTCTCAACACGGACAGAAAAATATGTTGCCAGGAATGTCCAAACTTGAAAAATGACATCTGAACCTCTGCTATATAAACATCCTGGATAACAAAGGCCCAACTATCTTTTGACAAGAGTAAAAAGGATAACTCGTTTCAACAGTAATCCCTTTTATAAAAACGATGTGCTAAAATCAAACTTTCCAACCGGAGGCATTTACTAAAACTCAAATATATATTGTAACCCAGTTGTTACCTCTGCCGCGACCCCTACGTCCACGGTCCGCCCCCCTCTCTCCAGGAGCCACCTCAAACCCATTTTCCTCTGACCGACCTACAACAGGAAACAAAGCAAGAAGAGAAACTGAAACACAAACCACTACATAGATTTGATTTTAACTATGTAGTGGAACTCAAACTGAAAGTCAAAATCCACAAATAACTGGTTTAACTGGTTAAAAAGCTACTTTCAAATACATACAAAGTCAGGTAATTCATGCGCCTGTTCTCTTTTGTCTTACCTTCACGCCCTCGACTGATTCCTCTACCCTTCCTGGTGGGCCCCCCACGTCCACGGCTGACCTCTCTCTCTCCTCTCTTCTCCCTGGTCTCCTTTATGTCTGAGGGGCCTCCCTCTTTCCCAAGGCTACGCTTCTTTCCGACAGTTTCCCAGGAGTTCTGAAAAGGTAACAAGAAATGAAGTGGGCAGTACAGAATGTGTTTAAATTGCTCTCAAAACATAATAATATACAATGCTTTCATTGTTTCCAAAGCAGAAAAAGGGCAACCATATGACTTTTAAACACAAGTTCAATATATATGAAGATGGGTTGTCTGTGTGCACGCTTACAGTGTCAGAGGTGCTTTCAAGCAGGAAATTTATGGCTCTGTTTACATCTTCGTTGCAGTCATGGAGGGCAACCATGCACTCATCTTGAGTCTTCCCAGTTACCTCAATTAACTGAGCAAACAAGACAGAAGAAAGAGGTATCAACTTCAAACAACAAGTGACATTGTGACTGTCCGTATGTTTTGCAACTCAGAATAAGAGATACTTTAATAAACCCAGAGTGAAATTATTTTTGTTGCACACTCCAGATGTACAACAACAACATGTATATATATATATATATATATACACAGAAATGATAATAGTGATAACTCAAGACATATAATGGTGACCAAGATGGCCTTTTTCAGTGTCTATGATGCACCAACCTGTTTGACCTTGTCCTCAAAGTCGGAATCATTTTTGTCATAGATCACCTGGGCTAAACGAATCTGTTCTGCTGTGGCCTGGTGAAAAGAAGAAGCCTGGTATGAAACAAAATGACAGAAACACATGGTGCCTTGCTGCTTTTGCTCGATTCGGAAATATGCAGCTCCACATTCCATTTGCTCTCAGTTAAACGGAATCTAATACAGTAATAAAAACAATTACCGTACAACCTGAAAATGATATATTGTATCCTTGAGATGTCCAAATAAAAATATTTCACCGTGGACTGATAATACTCCACCTGTATTTGTTTCTGTGTTGTTTGTGTGGTGGTGGTGGGCAGCGGCTTGTCCCGGGTCCCCCGGACTTGATTGCTGACCACTGAAGTCATCATATACAGTATATACAAAACAATGTATGTACAAAATAGAAAAATCTGGAAAAAAAAATGAGAAAAAACAAGCATGAAATTTCAACCTTGTGAGATAGTAACATTATATAATTGTGTCAAAAATGCTGTGATGCACATTGCTTAAGCAGTACACTGAAAATAAGCAGACTAAGACTCACTTTTATATACCATGTAAGACTATAACCCGCATCTGTCGCCCCCACATCCTCGGTTAAATTTAGCCTGCCAAGAGAGGACTGTCCGGGTGTCATCTTACAGCTCTCTCTCTCTCCCTTCCCCACACAAAAACACCGTAACTATGCTCCAGCGTATCTAGCATACTACACAAACACTTTTCCACCCATTTAACTGGAAAAAGTAGCTGCACTGTTTTATTATAAGTATGACCCCAAGTCAACCCCGCTTTATCCTGGACTATACCACATATAGTAACAAGCTGTTATATAAGGACAATAGCTGATACTTGTAAACATACGGTTCAAAATCAGAAACAAAATGATCTCCCAACTGAGTCGATTTTAAGGTCCCTCACATAAAAAACGTCAGTTTGCGTAGCGTGGTACGCGTAAATTGTGACATTTAATATTTTAATACAATGCGTTTATTTAATCCAGTCTCCCTTGACAGCATAATGTTACTTCAAACGATAGCACAATATGTTCTACCGAATTATAAAAAACACAAGGTAACGCTCACTTTAGGTCACCTAGCTCGCGATAGCCGCAGCCTGGCTAACCGCTCGCCTTTGTTCGCGTGCGAGACGAAATAGATCGGAACCGTAAAAATAGTCACATAGAGTAGTAAGACATTAACACGATGCTTTTCACATTAATCAACGATATTATAATATTGTTTGCCATGGTTTGTCCAGAGAAGAGGGTGAAATTAATGTGTGAAGTGCGATGGTATACCTCTTTGTGTAGACAAGAAAAGCTAATGTTAGCATCAAGCTAATAACTGAAACGGACATAACAGCCCCGTGTTCGGTTAACATTCACAGTAGACAACACATGTTTTTTTACATCGGTTAAATTATTCGGAGTTTTTTAAATTGTTGAAATTCAACAAAACACAACAGTTATTAGTTAGTATCTGCCAACTGCCCGGCATGTGAACGGCCCGTCCACATACAATGCAGCACTACTCAGTGTTGATACAGCACTGGCTGGTTAGCGAAATAGTTAGCTAACAAGCAAATCGTGTGAAGGCTGCTCAAGACTCGGACAAAGACCCTCCATAGAAAATGTAAAATATACGACCAGAGTTTTTTTCAGACAACTTTGAAATAGTATTCACTTTTTAAAAAATTCTGAAGGATATCTTTTACCTGCTAACACGCTTCGCTCAGCCAGCAGGCAGCAGCAGATGCTGTCACGTGACCTAGGGCGCCGTTGTTTAACGTTGAGAAGCCTGGGCAGCCAACCAGAACCCACTGATTAAGTCACATGGTGTAAAGCCACACCCTGACGTAAGCGTTCATGTTTGGGAACCTGCGCAATGTTTTTAGTTTGGCAGTCAACAGGTGATTATTTTCTAAAGAGGATTAATGGGGTCTGTGAATAATTTTGGATAAATCAGTTGATTTTGCGATACTTGAAATGAAAAGACAAACAAAGAAAGACTTCTCTGAATCCAATGGCCATTTATGATCGATAATGCCCATTGTTAGAATCAAAGTGGCATATACAACCGTTCCCCTGGAATGCGACTTTTAAACAAAGGGTTACATGAGAACTCAGTTAATATGTTAACTTGTCAATTAAAAATCCTGATCTCACCCAGACAGAGAATGCAAGCAGTTCAGTAGAGAATGACGATCTGGAATTCCTCCAAGAAGAGGACTGCTTCACTGTGACTTTAGTAGCTTTAATTTTTTTTCTTTTTTACATTCAGCTGTGCATTCTGTGAAAAGGTTTAACACGAAGAGTTTAGATTTGCAAAAGCAAAAAACTACACATACAGGTTGGAGCCTGTGTCAATTGCCATTTGAAGAAGAACAAAGATACACCTTGGTCAGGTCATCTCTCCATCAAAGACAAACCGAAGAAACAGCTATACATTCATATGTTTATTTCTTGGATCAAAGTAGAACAAACTGGCTTTTGCATGATGATAGAGGAATCCAGAGTACCTAGAAAGAACTCATGCACACAGTGGGAGAACTTGGAAATAACACACAAAACTTCAAACCGGTAATCCTTTGGCTGTAAGGTGACATGACTAATTACCACACCACTGTGCAGCCAAAATAATGTGATTAAGCAGTTTCAGTTCAAACATAAACCATGCAAAAAATGTAATACGAATCACTTTCCTTAAAATGTGACTCGAAACTGGAAAATACTTTGCAAACATAAAAAAACCTAACAATCTTTTAAGCCTAGCAAAAGAAAAACAGCCTCTTGGTATATAAATATCCGAGCCAGAAGCCAAGTTTCTGCTCAAGCTTTGGCTAGATGTATACCTAAATGTTCATCAGAGCTTGGGGGAGGCTTAAATTTGAACTGAAGACTTATAAGGCCAGTGGGTCACCCCACTGTCAAGACAGAAGACTATGACAAGAAAAAATAAAGAAAAAAACACTCATCAAGTGAAAAGATCAAAATAAACATAACGACAGTAACCCTCTCCATGGGAATCTAGTTACAAGAAAGCTAAAAAATAGCTTAAAAATAAAGCATCCAAGTAAAACAGGCAAAAACTGAAAAGACTGAAGGGAAAGTCCATTTGAGATTGAAAAAGTATAACTTTATATATTCCAGCTAGTATAGTTTAAATGTGTTAACCCGATAAAAATATGTTCTACCAAATTAAATGTGTACCATTGTAAAATCTGTAAATAAGTAATCAAATCCTTAAAGAAAAAGTACAACTCCAAGTCAAAACACATAAGTTAAATACTTACAGCTCAATCGGTAAATACATTAATGCACATTCATTTATAATTTAGATCCTTCCTAACATGTTCTTTTAGCAGAGAGAATACGCTTTGCTAGTAAAATGATTAAAGAAATTGAACAGTAAAAAATATAAAATAGATCATGCTCTGATACTGTAGTTCATATTTCCACTGAAAAGAGAAAGGGATTTTTCATAGCTGCAGCTAAAATTGCAGATATTCTTTAGTTTACTTTATAGTTTAGTTTACATTATAGAGTCATGGCCATTATTTTGTCTTTGCAGTGTGTTCATGGGGTGACGAGGCTTCAGATACGGTTGCAGTTGAGCTTTCATGCTTTGCACACAACTTGCTTTTCTTTCCATGATCTCCGCCAGTTTGTGGACATATTCTTCAAATGCCTATTAGACAGGGAGACAATGAGAAGACATTGGGCCTTTTTGAAAATGTGAAGTTCATTTAAAGAAGTGAAAAGTCTCACATGATGTAAAATTGTGGATCTAATTTAGTCTTACCATGTCATGCTGATGGCAAAGAAGCCTTCCCTCTTTGTGGCATAAAGCTTCCATCTCCTTTAGCTGCTCCAAGTAGGCCTCAGTTATAAAACACCTGGTGTTAAATTGAGGTAAAGTACTATTAATATGTATTAATATTTTTTCCAATTTACATTCAATTACTGTTTTCAGATAATTCACTTACTTGGCATGGTCCAAGTCACACTGGGAAAACAGATGGCCAACCGGAATAATTTCCTGATTGTTACATCTTCCTTGACAATCTATCACTGCAGAATCCTTCGACATTGGTGAAATGTTTGAGTCGCTGGAATAGTTCGAAAGTGTTTCATTCAAGTGACCAGAGGAACATTCTGATTGTTTTGTTGTTATAAAGGATGGAGGTTTTATTCCTTTCTTATTGGCATACTGAGGTATACTGAATAAAGTAGGAGAACCAGAGTTCTTTAAGTGCAGGAGAGAGGGTGAAGAGACTTGACAGTGCACTGAAGGGTGTATATGGGTATTTTGTGGATAAGGATTATTTTTGTTGTCAAGAGGTGGTGTTCCATGTTTTTTCTGGTTGCTCTCTGGATCTTGGTTGGAAGTCAACTTAACCCCAGAGAGAGGAGGTTTGTTGTCACCTGGACAAGATAAACAGCTGTTGAGTTATTTATGAATGCACTGACAAACACATAAAAAGACAGAGCTTGCACTTACCTTTTCTACAGAATTTGCCTTTAATAAACATTTGTTGCTCAGTGTCACTGGCTGTGGAGTAAGAGGTCCCTCTTTGTGGCATTTCAAATGAAGACAGGCATAATTCTTCATCATCATTTCCCACAAATTCCTTCACTGTCTTCTCACATGAGTGATGCTCTTTTCTAGTCTCCCCTTGGTTATCATCTCCCCCAGAAATTTTAACTCCAAAGTGTGAGTTGTCACTGTTGTTCCCTTGGAGAAATGAAGCTGTAGCTGGCTGTTGGTCCACTTGAAGCATAGAAATGCTGAGCGGGTCCATGTTGTAGTCAACAGGGTCCGAGGACGTCTCACGTTGAGGTAGCACAGATCTTTTGACATGAATATCTGGGGGTTTTTGTGTCTGCGTGTAAACAGAATCTTCTTGTTGATCATTAAGGGGCTCAACAGGTAAAGCAGTTAATGGATTGGTCGAAAAGCGTAGCATGTTTTCTCTACGGTTTTCTGAAGACACTGTCTCCGGAGGCTTTTTCAAAGATAAAGGAAGAATTTTGGTATTGCATCCAGAATACTTTAATTCAAGAGAAGTATGACTTGCCTTTGGGGTCAGGAGTGTGTTGGTATATTCAGAGGATGGAGAAAGTGGCCTTTCTGCAGGAGCTCGCTGATGATGCGATCTAAAATTGTTGTGGCTATTATTACCACGGTGGGAAGAATCTAAACTACAGCAGTCAACTTCTTCTCTTTGAGGCATGCTTGTCATTCCATTGTCTTGGAAATTTAAGGCATCCAGTCCCTCTGCGCACATTTGTATTTGCCCCTCTGAATAACTGTTGACAGACAGTTGTGACTTTACAACAGTTGAAGTGGAAGTCGCCGTCCTTTCGTCAGTCTCCATCTTTGTTGTTTTAGTTTGCATGTGTTTCTCACCACCTGGAAAATACATCTGCTCTCTGTTACAATCAACCGTCATAACCTTATTATTATGTGCATCAGAAATATCTCCCAAACTATGAAACAAGTGGGTCGAGAGTGAATGTTGACAGGAGTGCTGAATGGTGGCTATAGAAGCCTGACTGGAAGAAGAGATAGATGGGTTTGTAAAAGATGAGTGGGGAAGGACAGATGAAGATGCTGATACGGGTATAAACTGCTGGAGCTGCTGATGATAGTGTCTAAGATGCCTTCTCCTTTCTTTATCATCACCTCCTTTTGGTTTCTTTACGGCCTTATTTCTGCCCCCATTTCTTTCAGTTTCGTGCCTTGGCTGAATCCATGATGCTTTTTCTCCTCTTCTTTTTTCTAATGAGCACTGCCAGTTTTCCTTTTCGTTGTGGTTGAATCCTGTTTCCCTCTCAGCAAAAGCGAAATGACTCCCAAGTTTTTTTCCCCCTATGTGCAAGGCATCAGTTAGTTGTCCCAACACTGTCACTGCCCTGGTAGTTTTCTCTCTGACACAGGGACGCTGAGTCTTTCCGTGCCTTTCACTTATATTTTTCCCTGCCACTCTTTCATCTTCTGCTTTTCTCTCACAACTACTGTCACTTATTTCTGCCCAACCCCTCGGCAGTGTTAGATGTTCACATCCTGTTAGTCCTCTGCCCCGTGCCTGTGTTTCCTCCTCACTTACGCTGTCCTTGGGTGTTGAACATAGAAATGTTCTCCTTCTGTGTAAACCTGTTGTAGGTGTACTAGGTTCAAAAGCCTGAATTTGCATCCTTAACTTTGGCTTTTCAGGGGTGCCAACATTGCTACTATTATTGCTGCTGTTGGACGCACGAACACTGAGGGAAGCACTATTATTGCCTCCTCTTCTACCTTTTGGTGGTCCTTTTGCCCTCAGCTCCTTCACTCTGTAAAAAATAAGAACAACACAATCCTACATATCACCGAGTTAACAGAAATACAGGTTTAATCATATTAGATAATGTATAGCAGGAGAGGAGGTCTCTCCCTTTAGTGAACGGTACATTACATTTTTCCAGCGACAAGACAAATTCTTCCCATTGTGTCTACTCTTACACACTCTTACCGATCTGCATATCTCAATGTGTTAAGAGTGTGTTCAGTCGCGGGGTGACCAGGAGAGATGTTGGCAATCATGCATGTCATTGAGTCACCAAGAAATGAGTCTTTCAAAACCTTGAATGAATATGAAGTAGTTTAATATGAGACACAGTGCAATGTATCTTTCAAATTTGGTATATTTGCTGCACTTATATTGTTAGCGACCAAAATCATTTTACCTGAGTAAGTTTGCTTTGTCGGAAAGGTGTGTGGGACTCCTCTTTATCAAGAGAACGAATGCATTCTTTAAGCTGAGAGAATAACAAAAGAAAAAACAACTAAAAAAGAAAACTGTGCAATGAAAAAGAACAAATATTCTCAAATCTTTGCTTGGGATCTATGAGCATCTGTGGATGCATCTGTGTAACTCACAGCCAACAGGCTCCGGTTGATCTCAGCTGCCTCCATGCGACTGTGCCTGTTTGGATTTTTCGCATCTGATGCCCTTTCACTTCCTGCCAGGTCCACAAACCACATTCTATATGTACACACACACGCACACACGCACACACACACACACACACACACACACACACACACACACACACACACACACACACACACACATATATATATATTTGTGTGAATTATGAAAGCATTTTTAACAGGAGCACAATGAATACATTTTATTTTCAAGCAGATAGATTAAACTATAAGGAAATCTATAAACTACAGTCTTAAACTATAATTTGAGGAGTATTTTAGTTCAGACCTCCAGGGAGTTCACTGGTCCACTCTTGAAATGATATGTTCACATGATTACTTATTAAGCAAAAGTGATGTTTTGCCTGTTTCAGTGTTCAAGTGTGCCGACACAGTACTGGTTTTATGCTTACTTTAGATCATTTCGCCAAGTATCTTAACTGGTTTTTGACTATCAAAATCACAACAGAGAAAAATAGGTCTTCAGCAGCTTAAACTCACTTTGATTCAATAACTCCAGTGGACACATTGCTACAATGTCCATCCATAACAACTTTGGGACCTCTTGACAGTTAAACCAAAGACAACCTCTTTAGTGAAGGTAATAAAACATTGATGTTTTTTACCTTCCAGCTATCTGCTGGTTAGGGTCTCGAAGCTGAATCTGAAGCAAGGCGTGGGAACGGGAGGAGACTGGATTCACGCAACTCATCCCCTGTGTCCGTTCTGCTGTACCCTTTGATATCACCTTGTATAGGCAAAAACGAATACAGGTGGTTGGAAAGAAAAGAGAGACAAGCGTTACGAGAGAGAGGACTCACCCCACGCTCCGGTGACAGTATAAGTACACAATTTATCATGGATAGACCTGCTGACCTATTATGCTTGTCAAACTAATCTCTTTACCCTTGTCTCATGTCCGTTTATTGTTTAGTTTAATAACACAATGTCAATATTTGTATGATAAATCTAACAAGTAATCTAAATTTCTCCCTTGTGAAAAGGACAATCCACAATTTTTGGAAAAAATTCCTGGTATTAATGTGTCATTAACGCTGTGATGCTAGTCAGACAATTTTTAGAATTGCAAACCTCCAGCAGCAAGCCGATGGAGTCCACTCTGACATGACGCAGACCTGAAATGTGAACCACTTTCTGTCCATCCTCTCTAGCAAATAACCTTTACAGGGAGCAGATGTGAAAAAATCAGAAAAATAAATCAGGCTTTGTTATGATTCTGAACAAGAAGCGCAGAGTCCCTGGTTATTTGGATGCCAGGAAATTGGAATGTAAGCACTCCCATTTATATAGATAAATTCAAATTTCTGGTAGAGTTAAGTTAATAAAGAGATATAATATAAATCTAACTAATGTTGGCTTTAGGTTAACAATGAAGTCAGAAAACAGATTTTTATTTTCAAAGTCCTTCAAATGATCTATTACTAAGCTGTTGTAGCAAAAAAAGAAAAAAAGCACAACCGCAGACCTCTTCCTGTGGTCCAACAGGTCATAAAGATGACCACAGTAGATCTCAAAGAAACTGACATAAACCAGCAGTGGTGGGTGTCTGTGTGTGGTGGACAGGTGAGCAAATATGTCCCGCACTGCCAGGCCATACAGCCCAGGTCTTTCAGGAGATGAACCCAACATTGTGTGCGTCTTTCCTGCACCTGTCTGTCCATATGCAAAGCAGGTGGCCTCACCTCTGTGGATACACAATGCAAACAAAGGTGAACTTGGAACCAGAGATAAAAATGCACAGTTAAAGAGAGCGCACTTAAACTTTCAACTCACTAATTCTGAATTGATCTAATTGTCTGGTAACAACTCCCAAATAACCACCAAATGAGCGCAAACCTACCCACTAAGCATATGTTGCACCAGAGGATATGCTGTTTTTTGATACACCTCTTCATTAGAGCTCTGCTCTGCAAAAACCTGATCATAGTAAAACTTGTGCTGTAAAAGAGTGAGGGACAAAGCACAGTATGCAGAGTATGATTATTCTGATCTGAAAAGGTTATCCCAGCAAAAATGGTCACATTGAATTCTAGTACTCTACCTGTAGTATGTACTGGTTGAGGTCCACAGCCTCTTTGTTTTCGTGAACAATCACACATCGTTCACCTGAAGCCATCACTACATCCTTCTCTCCTCTTCTGCTTTCTGCATGTGTCAGAGGCCTTTTCCTGACACAAACGCTAATCCGTTTAAAGCCCACCTTTCTGGTACGCACACATGCACGAATGAAGAAAAATTCTCGTTTTGAGAAAAACATGTCTTACTTGATGAATAAATGTAAAATATAGAATCATCTCCTCATCTACAATGCCAGGAGACAAATACACACCAGTGCAACTCACCTTTTGTTTGGAGCATGAGAAGAACTTAAGGGCAGTCCATAGTTGTAGCCAGCTGTTCTTTTTGCTTCATAAACAGGTGTGGGTTTATCAATGCCAGTGGAGCAGATTTTCTTCGTGAACTTTCTTCTTGTGTCCTTTTGTCCAAATGATTTTTTGTTAAATGTTTTTGATGTGACTGTTCCTGGACAGAATGTCTCACAGTGTGGTGACAATGCAGTATAAAAGGTGGATGTGCTATTTTTTCCTCTGATGTCGATCTTGTTATTTTGTCCGACATGAAAATCATACAAACTATAAGTTTTATGCACATCTATCTCATAGCTGTTGCTGTCTCTGCCACCATATACACCAGTATCCGCATTTCTGCTGTGACCTGACAGCTGCACCTGAGTAGTGGATCTTTTTTCTTTGACTGGGTTTTCATTTCTGGTATGACTTTCATAAAAATGACCAGTGCCCAAAGGTAGAGTACGTAGCCTCTGATGATCATCAGTGGTTTCATCATTGAAGTTGAGACATCTTCGAACGCATTGTGGTCCAGCAAAACTGGGTACAACTGGACCACAAATAGTAACTCCATCATCATCCCAATCCGCATTCCAGTCTCCTTCTGAACTTTTGGAATGATCCGAACTTCTTCTGACAACATTATGGTCATTACCATCATCATATGCTAGTTTTTTAAGGTCAGATGTTTTGACCAGTTGGACCAAATGGAAAAGGCGGGTCCTTTCCTCCATAGAGTGAATTCCCAGGAGGGGATAGTCTGCCATGTGCAGAACTGAAAGGTGGGCTGCACGGAAAACACCCACCAAAGTAAATCTAAGGAACAGGGAACGATGAGGACAATTACCAAGTCTTACTGGAGAACATCAAGCAAGTTGAGTTTTGACGCTTTTTTTCTGCTTACCTTTCATAGTGATGCTGAAGCCCAACTGCTTTGAGACACTCATACAGACAAACCGTCATTTTCTGTTCTATTTGTCTTTTCCTCTGTTTTGTCCTTTACTTCTCTCCAACTATCTTGGGAGACCTCTAGTCTCTGCATCAGTTGCTCACACAAAAAAAAGACGTGAAGGATATAATTTCACAGCAAATGTGACTCGATGCTGATGTCCCATCATTATGTAGAAAGCATGCCCAGCATACGGAAGCATGTGTCCAGCGATTTCTGTCAGAGAGCAATTGCCTATAGCAATTCACTGCGTCACCACTGTCACTGTGTTCTGTTGATAGTAAGCAAAGCGTCCGACACCAGCAGGATGCTGAAATCTGATACCACAGCTAGATGGAGTCAGGACAGCGCCATGCAGTCGTCACGCATATCTCCACAGTTGCAACATGATAAATATAGCAAACACAGGCAAGCAACAGTTGACTATTACTGTAAACTGGTTAGCAGCTGCAACAGTTATGCTTCTCTCCAAGTCTGTCCAATTCATAGTACCAGACTCACAGATCCCTGAAGCTGAGCCAGAGTACTTAGAGTTAATCCTTGATGGGATATCATTCCCTGCTTCAGTGACTGTTAAATCTGCAAATGTAAAATGTTTATATTACATTCATAGCTGTGGGAAATATATGAACAGTGCAGTGTCAGAATAGATAGCAATATAAAATCAAACACCATAATATTGCAATAGTAATATTTTCATGTCTAAGTTGAATTAGCTTTAAACAGTTTTGTTTCCCAAAGTCTAAAAAGAAGAAAAAAATACTCACTCCAGACCTTTTAACTGCAAATGATAGCAGCGGCAGAACTTCGGTGTAACTGACTAAAGGCATTAATTTTTCACTAACTTGCCATCACATAGTAAAATAGTATTTCCGTATACAGAGCGTGTATCCATGACGACAAAATGTGTTGAGAGGGCTCTTCTTACTCGCTGCACTTGAGAGCTGTGGCTCTGTGGGCGAAACTGGTTCAGAAAGTCATTTTTAGTAGACATAAATAAGTCATTTTATAGACAGACAGTCAAATAACGTCCAGTTCAGCATTACAGTGAGAGAGATAAGCCGTCAAAGGGATTAATGCCCACCAGCAAACCCACTAAGACAAAAAGCCTCGTCAGACTAAACCACCTAGTGGGCTTTATAGCAGGAGTGGTCAGCTGAAAGAATACTTTTTCACAGATAGTTTATTCTGTATGGGTCTATTCCATGGGAATAATGTAATTGAATAAGAAAGAAAGAAAGAAAGAAAGAAAGAAAGAAAGAAAGAAAGAAAG